TCTTCTCCAGGCTGAACAAGCCCAACTCCCTCAGCCTGTCCTCATAGGAGAGGTGCTCCAGCCCTTGGATCATTTTTGTGGCCCTCCTCTGGACCCGCTCCAACACTTCCATGTCCTTCTTGTACTGAGGGCTCCAGAGCTGGACGAAGGACTCTAGGTGAGGCCTCACCAGAGCAGAGCAGAGGGGCAGAATCCCCTCCCTCGACCTGCTGGCCACGCTTCTCCCGATGCAGCCCAGAGTACGGTTGGCCTTCTGGGCTGCCAGTGCACGTTGCTGGCTCATGTCCAGCTTTTCATCCACCAGCACCCCCAAGTCCCTCTCGGCAGGGCTGCTCTCCATCCTTTCTTCCCCCACCCTGTACTGATACTGACACAGCTTCTTCCTGTCCTCTTCATCAGTTTGGTGGTTGGCTTATATCCGTAATGTGATAAAGATTTTAGTTGTGCTGAAAATCAAACTAGATTAAGACCTAAATTTCCTCCTTTAGGTGCCTAATATGATAACTAATTAGGTATTGTAGGCACCTAATTAGAGGACATTGCAGAATCTGAAAAGTAACTTTCTCGTCCTCAGAAGGAATACCCAAGCCTCTAGGTTAAGTGCCTAGACTGTAGTGGAATTCTCATGCTTCATTTTTATGCAGTAATTTAGGTGGACTACCTACCCAGAAAATGGGGTATATCTTTCTTTGTTTAAGTGTCCAGTTGTCCATCACATAATAATAATAATAATAATAATAATAATAATAAAGTCAAAGGAAGAAAGATTAGTGCCCCAGCTCTGCTTTCAGGCAAAGAGTGCAAACTGCTAGGCTTAGATTCAAGAGAACTACAAGAACTTCAGGGGAATTATATGTAATAGCATCTAAACTTTGAAACTCAGAGTAGCTTAGGTGGGGAGTGTGCCTAGCTCGCCAGGTCAGGATATCTCTGATAACAGTAAGTTAGAAATAACTCTGAGGTTACATGATAGTAGATAATGGGGTTTTGGATTGCTGCCTTGGAATCAATAGACAAATAAATTCTTAAATATCCTGGTTTAGATAATTCAGATATGTTTAATGCCATTTTGTGTGATAATCCTTGGTTTTCATAAGCAATATATTTCGATCTATTAATCTATATTAATTCTGAAAGATTAAATAGCTTTAAAGTAATTAAATAAAAATGGAAAAAAACTATTGTGACTATAAAAACAGTCTTCACTGGTGATTTGAGGAATATAGTCAAGCTTGATTAACTGAACTCTGGATAGTCAAAATGTGCTTTCACATCCCAGGGTTTATGCTTGTGATGATGAACTCTGAATCTTTAGAAGCGCTTTTGCATCCTCCCAAAATGAGCTTCATTTGGTGCATGGTCTACAAGTGCTGAAACCAAAACTTCACATTCAGAAAAAGTAGAGGATGCCACCTCCCTACCAGGAGGAAGGCATACAAGGATTTCATAGCTGATGGAACTGGTTCTGATTTTGCTTTTAGGAATTTGGAATCAATAGCGTAACTGTTTAAAGCTTTGCACTTTGCTCCTACTTAATGCACAGGTCCCCATCCAGGGAGAATGCGGGGGGTTTTGAGAACATGCTGTCTTAGTATAATGACTACCTGAAGATGCATTTGTTTTGTTTTTCCATGCTTTCTTTGAAATTCCCAGAAGCTGGCAACATTAACAGGACAACTTCTATGTTACAGATCTGAGTTGTGAATAATTTCTACCTAAATCTTGCCAAAGTTCAAGATATACGAAGCATCCTCATAGTATCTTGGAGGGCTGTGGCAGTGCTGCTCTGTGTTTCTGTACTGTGGTGCCCAGCCCCTTGGCTGATCTTGTATAGATGGAGCTGAAGGAACCTCTGGAAAATGGACAGATGTTGCTAAAATTACCCAATAAATCCAAGTAACTGAGGAGTTACACTTCAGGTCATCTTTGTCTGACACTAAACCAGGAGTTTTTAAGACAGGGAGATCTTAAGTTGTATCTGCATTATTTAGAAAAAAACAAAACAAAAACCAGAAAACCAAAACCCAAACCAAACTAACTACTAAAATCAGGGGGAAACTCTGAGTAAAGGTGCATCTGAAATTGATTAACTCTTACTTAATATTTGTGATTTTTATGTTGCTTTTCTTAAATAACATTATTTAAAGAGAGTTATTTTCTCACATAGGCAGGACTCAATGCTGTGTTTTTTCTCATATAAACACCTATAATAAATGCTTTCCAACATATAGCTATTCTCATAGTAATTAAAAATGCCTGTGCATTCTTATTCTCATCTCTTAATTTTAAAATGTAGTTGGACACAGCTCGATTTGTGTTAGCATATATTTTGAAATTCTGGGTATACTGAGTATTTGAACAAATCTTATATGCACATTTTCTCACTTCTTACAGGGAGCAGGAGCAGGCACGGGATCGACCACAGGAGTATCACAGGTGTCTCTCAGTACAATGAGTGTGGAGGCTGTGTGTGAGAAGCTAAAGCAGATAGATGGCCTGGACCAGAGCATGCTACCTCAGTACTCTGCAACTATAAGAAAGGTATCAGCTGAATTTCATTAATATATTTAGTACCTAAACATGGAGATGGACAAGGAAAAGGAAATATTTAGTTGCCTCTTTTCTTGAAAATGTTTATTGAAACATACCAAATGTCAAAACAGCATCCTAACTTCTATGTGTGCTAAGTTTGGAGGACATTTTAATACAAGTGTATATTTTTCAGAGAAAATGCTCTCTCTCAAAAAGGAAAAAAAGACTTAGAGATATAAATGCTGATGAGACTGGTTATTTTGAGAAAAGAAGCAAGAAATGTTTTTAAAATTGCCATTTGTTGATAAATACGGTTGCAAATGTGTTCTATACCCAGGTAGCAACATGTCTTTTCTTTTTTCCCCCTGAGAAACTGGCACATCTCTTCTGTTGTAAAGGAGTGGTAAAGATGCTTTGATTTCTCTCTTATCACATTCCACATCTATTTGCTTCAGAAAAAGGCCACTGTGCATTTTTCTGTTACTGCTCTTTTCTCTAAGACATTAGCACAGAATCACTTTTGTCTTCATTACTTTTTTTCACCATTCTGTGTGCTCCTTTTTCAAAGAAAGAAGGGAAGAATGTGAAGATTGTCATTAGTGAGTGTTTTTGCTGAGCTCACTTTGTCCTGGTACCTATCACATCTTAAAAAATACAGGGAGGATATTGATTCAAGGCATAAGAGTCAGGTTTGTCATAGGAAGCTTCAGCAATGTTGCTTAAAGCAAGAAGTAGGATGTCAGATTGCAGCTCATTAAGTGTAGCAGCAGAAAATTCCAGTTGCTTCAGTGGCTCTAGAGTGCTAAAAGAATGTGCTCATCAGTTATCTCTAATGAGATTTCTCTTATTTATATTCTTGCATTCCTTACTACAAGTGATATAATGTAAAAAGGAAGAACGAAAATGGCTCAGCCTGGTCTTTTTCCTGGTTTGATTAAGACCATTCTGCTGGGATTTGGGAACAAAACCACTGAGATCCCTCAGATTGAGCAGAGCTCTCCGCTTGGGTCTTCCATTTTGTGGCTACTTTCTTAAGACTGGTTCCTCTTTTACTTTCTGTCCATCCACCACTACATGGTGTAAAGAGAAATGCCTCTTGTTGTTATGTAATGAAAATGGTTCTGTATTGAATTTGGTGCTGTTAGAAGTTAAGCACTATATCAACATGCCTAACATAAGGAGTCACCTTCCTGGAATTTAGATGGTGTTTAGGCATTTCTGTGTTGAGAATGATGATGAAAATTAGGAAGAAGTCTAGTCTTCTGTGCCTGTGGTATTTCTGATGATGGGAGGAATGTAAGTCTGTATTTATTCAGGGAGGGAACTTGACAGAGGTAGTACGTGATCTTTGATGCCTCAAGCCAGGGGTCAGATGATGCCTGGGACTTAGTTGTCTGATTATCTTTAGATACTTGGGAGTCCACGGTCCATTTGTGTTCCAAGTCTGAGAAATCTAGGCAGGTGAATGTGGTTTATAGTCTGTGAAATTTTATACCACTGATGTGTTGGTTCCTTATATCTGTTTATAGAGCACAATCATACAGTCTTCCATATACGCGGGTTTGATGGGTTTAATATATTAATTTTTTTCATGACACATAGGTTCTTCTTGTCCATCAGCAAATATTCTTTTATAAAAATGTGTTTATTATGTAGCATTGGACTTAAGAGTGGTGTTGGGGAATTTCACTAATAGACCCCATCAATATAACCAATTTTAATTACCTTTTTAGTCTGTTACTGTCATGCCATAAGTCTTGTATTGGTAATTTGAATTATTTAGTTTTATTGTTTTAGGCAAATATAAATGGCCGTGTCTTGGCTCAGTGCAACATTGATGAACTGAAAAAAGAAATGAACATGAATTTTGGTGACTGGCACCTATTCAGGAGCATGGTAAGACTTTCTCTTCACTACTCAGGCCATCATGAATTAGTCTTTTTCATCATGAACCTTACCTTTTTTTTTTCTTTTCTGTTGCTTTCTTTCCTCTTGCTTTCTTGTTACCATCATCTTAAAGATGATAAGTATCATCTTGAAACACTCATGCATTTATTATTTTGTTACTTAGTCTTTTTGTCTTGAGCACTTTAATGAAGAATGGGTTACCTATGGATTTGCGTCTTAATTGATTGTGAACTATGAAGTCTTGCCTCCGCTTTTTGTAAGATCTATTTTTCCTGTAGGGATTCCCTTTTCTCTTTTTAAATTTGCCTGTTTTAATGACATTTTCAGACCTTAATTCTCTTTGAAGCCTCTGTC